CTGAGAAAATTAATAATTCAATTATTTGCAAAACTTCGTAAGTCACGATTGAAGTTCAGAAACATTATCATCTCGAGCCTGGCTGGAGACATTCGCTTCCGTAGATCAGACAACACCAGCTTAGCGAGAGAGAAGAAGCGCTCACACTCGTTAGACAATGGCGGGATGTACACGACGTCGACGTAGTGCGCAATTGCGTTTCTTGAGCGCCGCTCTCACAATAGAACGCTCTTCGGCGGCTCTTGAAGACGACCGTTCGAGATCAGGCGACCTAAATTCAGCGCAGGCTAATTTTTCCGCGACGTTCAGCGCGTCCCCACGCTGTAACTCGACTAGACCTTACTCAAAATTGGGGTTGTTCCCGTTGCTGGCAGCCATAAATTAATAATTAAATTAAAAAATTGGGATTAATTTTTACGCATATTATTTTTTCGGGTTCCCTGCTTCTCACTTTGGTTGAGTCTCACTTGTTACTCGTTGCGGAGCGGTGTGTTCTTGCTCCAGCGAATATGTACTTGAAAAGCCTCCTGTACATGTATGACCGACAGAGGCAGCTTATCGTAGGGCTTCACGTGCATGCGTCTTCGTCCTTTGCGGGGTCACACACGTCGGGTGCCAGTATACATGTTGTATACTTCTTCTTTCAGAAGTGTTGAGCTTGAAAAGAGGCGTAAAATATACACGGCGGGAAAGTGGAAGAATGATTACAGTAGCTTACTTTCCTAAATGCCTGTTCCGGAACCAGATAGGATACTTAGAAATGATTACTACTGTAGTACATGTACTTTATGCCTACGTACTTAAGTATATTTGAGTTCTGGTGCTGATATGCAATCGGTGATTGCAGTGATACTTCGTGCTCGAGTCTCCAACGCTGCACATCGTAGGCTAGGGGGTAAAATGAAGAACTACGAGGTCCCCGTTTTGCCTCATATATTCAAAATCATAAAACATTTGTGCATGCGGACGCACAAGATTGCATACAAATGAAAAACCTCATGCTTTGAAGCTTACCTTTTCTCTACTCCTATGCAAAATGCAAATCTTCCTGCAGATCCACTACTGCTGATCATCTGTCTCGTTAATGAGCTGGTTGATGACATCGTCAGATTCGTTGACGGTCTCTTCAACCAGTTGCAGTCGCTCCAACGCTTCAACGAGTTGGTTTTCGTGCTCAGTTGCCGGACTTACCGCAAGCTGGCGTTTAAACTCGCTTTGAATCACCGAAGCGCCGAGATCGTTCCACGCTGCCGTAGCCCAGTAGATAGCATCGTTTCTAGAGGGAGGATTAAGCTGAAATTGCCGGCCTGAATTTCCTTGACGGAATTGTTGTAGCTGCTCCGACACG